AAAACAGAGAATTAAAATTTGCCCAAACTCGAAAATCCTATTTCGTGGGGAGGGGGGGGGCAACTTCCTTTCACTTCCAATTTTTTTTCCTTTATTGCCTTGCTATATATGTACTGTGGTAAAAAGTGGGGGGGGGGGCAACCATCTTTTCAATGGACATTTTCTATAGTAAAGGTAATGTTGGGGAAAAAAGTGGGGGGCCAGGCCCCCCCCCCCCCCCCCCCCCCCTACCCCCGGTTGCTACGTGCCTTAGATGTCAAGCTGACTTCCAAGATACAACTAATGTGCAAAATTTATAAACACTAAAAATTATAAATTTGAATTATTTTCAGAATCCCTGACTAGTGCTTTTCAATTTACACGAGTATTATATGATTTGGAATATAAAAACACGTGTACAATTAATGAAATTTCAAACTGAAGAAAAAATTAAATAAACTGGAGAATCTGTCAAAACTAGAGGGGTTTGCTAAGCCAAATTAGTTTTGTTAAAAAAATTGTTTTATTTAATTTTTAAAACGGTTAAAAAAACCCTGAATAATAGTGTATTCCACGCATTCTCAATTTATAGTACCAATTCGATCTTGGGAAAAGTCAAAAAATTTAGTGAACTGAAATTAACACTTTTATACGTCATTTGAAACATGAAAGTGTATAGTTATTAAAAATCGCAATTTGATTTACATACTTCATGCTTTGTTTTGTTGGCCTCCTTCGAAATAAAAGCGGTTGGAGGGCAAATTTTTAACCAAGATATTTACGTGATGTTGAAAAGCCATATTTGGAAACGAAAGAATTTTTTTTTTAAATACAAAATCAATATAATACACATCAAATTTTGTTAACTATAAACATTTATGAAACCGTTTAAGCACATTTGTAAAAGGGGTGTAGAATCTTTGATTCAATTATTAGTAAAAATAAAACGGATGTAATTTTCATTTAAATGAAATTATTTTCTTTTTATTTTAGCAAGTTTTATCACATCCGATGATAAGCTTAATAATGACAATATTCCCTAAAATGCTACATTAATTGATTCTTTATTAATCTGCTCAGAGAAACGCACATTATTATGCGCCCGGATCGATAGATCCGAGGCGTATATTGTTTTTGTCCTGTCTGTCTGTCTGTTTGTTTGTTTGTTTGTTTGTTTGTCCCCAAACTTTAACCTTCGCCATAACTTTTGAGCCATGAAAGGTAGAAACTTCATATTTGGTATGCATACTTCACTAATTATGTGCTTTCAAATGACACCAATATTAATTACCTTGTGACCTTGAATGTGACCTATATGCTAAAAATAGCTTTTCTGTCTGCAAACTTTAACCTTCGCCATAACTTTTGAACCATGAAAGATAGAGACTTCATATTTAGTATACATACTACACTAATAAAGTTCTTTCAAATGACACCAAGGTCAATGACCCAGTGACCTGGACTGTGACCTATATGCTAAAAATAGCTTTTTCGTACCTTTCACCATAATTTTTGAATTATAAAAGATAGAGACTTCATATTTGGTGTGCATAATCCACTCATTAAGTTCTTTCAAATGACACCAAGATCAATGACCTTGTGACCTTGAATGTTACCTATGCTTGTATGCTAAAAATAGCTTTTTCGATTTTTGTTGCCGTCGGGCGCATTGTGTTTCACAAACACATCTTGTTTAGAATATAAAAAGGTTAAATATTTCGCCATTACCTGATTACGAAGTGTTTGCTAAATATCACGTAAATATCGCACATAGATATCATACAAAAATAAAAGTATATTCGGAGAAAAAATGATTATATTATTTCAAATTATTGAATTTTATGAATTCTTATCTATATATACGCTCTTTACAAAGGGTTGAATTGAAAATTCAAGTAACTGTTATGATTTATCTATAGAGGACTCATGTAATTCATAACCCCCCCTTCCACCATTAAATCTGTTGATTATTTCAAAGGCAGCCACGTAGCATCGTTTTTTAAAGTGTGTGTGTGGGGGGGGGGGGGGCAGCAAGAGAATTTTTTTACTTAACTGAAAAGTTGATAAGGCAAAAAAAAGGGGGGTGAGAAAACTTGCACAAAGTCGAAAATCCTAGAGGGGGAGGGGAGGCGAACTTTTTTCAATGCCAACTACTTTCAGTACCAATTATTACACTACATTTTCCGTACATCACTATTAGTGGGGGTGGGGGGCAATAAGCCTTTCACTGAACATTTACTATAGTTGAAGTAAGGTTGGAGAAAAAAGTGGGGGGGGGGGGCTGCCCCCCCCCCCCCCCCCCCCTGTTGCTACATGTCTGAAATGTTTAATTGTTTGTGAAAACTTTATCGTCAAATCTCACAAATTAAACAAAGATCGCCCACCAACCTTAAAAGGTTTGTCAATAATTAAGTTGCATATCACATGTGCTCTATAGAGCAATATACATTCTCTGTTCATATAACGTAAATTGAATTTTCAGTACCATTAAAGCATAGATGCATACGTTATATGTCTAAGCAATTCCAATGGGAAAATTAGGTGCACAATTTTATACATGTTAATATTTGCATTTCTTGCAAAGCAACAAAAATGGAAATGGATTCAATTTCAACCAGTTTCTTGACACCCAACACCCTTTTTTTTTACCCGATGTAGACCCCCCCACCACCACCACCACATGCAACGCAGCGTCTATTTTCTGGAATTATATTTCCTACAAAAATGATTTTTTTTCCCCTTCAAAATGTTAAGCTTGGTATACAATTCAGGTGTATATAACCATTTTTTTAAGTTGACGATACACTATCATTTCAAACAAACAGCAAAATACAGACTTGAAGAAAGTTTTGTTTCAGATTTACGTTCCGAATGATAACGTGCATTACACTTGAAACTATGTATATGCAATATTAACCAATTGCTCAAAATGGAAAGATTCAATCATTAAACCACAATTCTACTTGTGAATAATATTATGTCAATTCAATTTTCAAATCACACGGATGCACAAGATATTGAGTGAAAAATGTTCACCTTTGCATGTGCACTTCAATTTGCATTTCTGCACTCTTGTTACAGAAAAAAAATGACATTTTAAGAAACAGTGTATATTTCTTCATGTTCTTAGTATTTACATCTTAAAGATTCACTCGCAAATCTATTCAAACAGCTTTGGAAATTAATACTTATTTACTTTAAAACATGGTAACGTAAATATGGGTAACGTAAATATCGGTAACGTAAATATCTTTCTGAGATTTATCGTAACTTTTAATGCCATTGTTCAATTATTCCACTGTTAATTAAAGGCACATTCTAGTGCTTGAGTGTAAGGCAATTTGACCCATAGGGAACAGTGTAGTTCTCTTACTTAATTTGTGAATAAATACTAACACGTAAATATCGTTGAATTTTTTAACCATTGGACAAAAAAAAATAGGGGGGCTATTGTTCATAAATACAGAAAAAGAGTGTCCTTTTTACCATTCCATGCAATAGAAGAGGTGTTCATGATGTTAAAAAGTTACAACTTAGTCCTATTGAGTCAGTTTTAACTTTATCAATCCTTCAAGTCCTTTTGAATTTCCAAATAGAAAAGTAATAATTCTGCGGTGACATCAAAATTTGATAAATATATTAAAACTTTTAAAAAATTGTGACACGCATATGAGTGAAGGGTGTGATATTCAGAAAATATAACTTAAATGTAGGACAATCTTACCAAGAAAAAGATATGTAAATGATTTAAAACTTCTTTTTGGTTTAAAATAAAAACTACACGATGATCGGCGACAGTAACGTAAATATCGATTTCTGCTATAAAATGTGATTTTCTCCTAAGACAATCATTCAAACTACAACAAACAATTGTTGCATTTTAATCAACAACCAACAATGGTTCATATGAGTGGCAGAAAATAAAATTTATTTGATATATTATATTACTTAAAACGCGGTACATTATTTAAAGCGAATTGAGACTATAAATTGAGAATGCGTGATTCATAGTTTTAAAAACATGCATTTTATCAGCAAAAGAATATTACTGCATGAGCAGCACCGTAACTATACAGTTTTCTGTTGTTGGTACCTGACTACATTGTACTGTGATCTTGTGACTTCACTAGATGCACGGACAACCCGATCTCTGAGGCACTCTCTCTGTTGATTACCTGTGTATTGTGTGCGTTCAAGCGGAAAGTGATCATGGTGATTTCCTGTTACGTAGTTGTATATTTCACATTTGTACAAACAAAGGGTTCATGTTTATTAGAGTCTTATCAATGCAACAAAATGATAAAATGACAATTGTAAAAAAAAAAAAAAAAAAAAAAAATCAATGAGCGGGGGGATTTTCCCGAACCCCCCTGAATCCGCCATTGGAAATGTTAATTGAAAGCCTGGTTGCCCCCCCCCCCCCACTTTTAGTGAAGTACCGAAAATGTAGTAATAGAATTGTTACTGAAAGTAGTTGACACTGAGAACAAGTATACCCTCCCCCCCCCCCCACGAAATAGGAATTTCGACTTTTGGCAACTTAAAGTCGGATCGAGTGAGACATCAAAAACTGGTTTTAAATTACCCGCCATAATAAGCTTATAGATGTAAAATGTAAATACGCATAGTGTCATGGGGCAAAATAGTTCGTTTACATGTGCATGTACGCACATATTATGTTTAATGAATAGTAAAAAATAATTTTATTTTTGAAAACAAATTGTAAATATTTAATGATATAATCATTGAACTGCTGTTAAACAATAAATGTTATATTTTGTGTTGAAATGTAAAATTGTAGGACAAATCGTTCCGCGTATACGTCTACAAAATCAATTCCGCCATTTTGTCCATTTTCCAACATTCATATGTGGAAAGTAATGTAAAAAGACGTTCGTATTGATGACACTAAAACAAAGTAAACATCCAGTAAGTGTATTTTTATGTGTATTTTGATTTCAGTCTGTCGTCTTCGTTCCCTATGTCAGATCGATGCCATGTTTTCTGTCCCCCTATCGGTAAATATTGGAACGCAGAGGGCGCTGACCCGTCCCTGAAAATTCTACATGGTGGCGCTCCAAAAAATCTGTACTTTCAATTTCGCTGTTGTATCCAAGTGCTTTTGAAAATGCTGTTCAAAATGTACTTTATCTTTGACACTATGTAAGTTATGCAATGATTATCACAACCCGGACATTCTACTAATGCTTGAGTAACAGGTCCGACATAATCTCTTGATTTAGCTATAACATTATAGCTTTATTAAGCTGTTCAGGATAGCTTGATTTAGCTATTTGATCACACTTTTTCTGAAATTTGTTAGCAAGTACAAAAGGTTGCACCTTGGTGCAGAGGTAATATTCAACTTTGAACTTTTCTGAATACAAATTACAATGCATGTAAAAATCACTCGATCAACAAAAGTTGTGTCTCTTTCAGAGATTTTGTACTCTAAGTTCTAAATATGTCGAGGCTATTGATTAGTTACTGTTCTTGCGCATTGCATGATGGGACGGAAAACCCTGGTTTGGGGGTTCGACCTGACTGGTAACCATACAGTTGATAATTTTAAAAAAAACTTCATTTTTGAATGAAGTTAAAGGAAGTCAGTTCTGAACTTCTGGTAAACAGGATAATTAATTGGTAATAATTCAGCACGATAATCATATTTATGGCCCTGAAGTTGGCCCAACACCCAAGGTTCTAGTGTACAATAATTCTTACTCAAACCATGGATTTATCTGTTGCTTGAAAGTATTCAAAAGCTGCAATGTTAGAGCTATGCTACATTCTTTGTTGTGGGTTACTCTTTTTGATAGTCTATATTAGTATATGAATACACAATGTATTCAAATACTTGTGTCTTTTTGTCTGTTTCTTACAAAAACATTTTTGTTAAGAAAAAAATCATATATATAGGGTTAAGCTATTTTGAATAGCTTACATGCTATATAAGATATTTCAAGCTATATAGCTAAATCAGGAGATTGTGCTGAAACTATGAGTGTCTAACAGTAAAACCCACTAAGTTAAACTTTATGCATGCATGTGTTTCAATGTTCTGAGTGGACAGACATATGTACATAGCCTATCTCTGTTCGTTTGTATAAGAGAATCATCTTATCAGGGTTTTTATGTACATGTATATATGAATGTAATTAAAGAAATTATTCATGCTATATACAGATCTTAAGATCGCAAGAAGTTTGGATATTATTATGTTTACTTGAAGGACATTTTCAGTTTGCATATTGTTATTTCAGAATTTTTTAAAAAGTATTTTAATAGGTAGTTGTAATTTGTTTCAAGAGAACTTTAAATTTCACAATAATTACCGGTATTCAAATATAATGAATGATCAAATCAAAATTTTTAGTTCATCTAGAGAGTTCCTTTCGCTATGGAATCCCAGCAGGAAATGTCTTCCCCATCTACACAGTCAACCACCGTAAATCTTAACGACCTACAAAGTTACCTCGTAACCTTCAACAAAGAAATCGAGTCAAGCGACCAAAATACATTTGAGGTAATTTATTTCTTCAGGAGATTGAATTTTTTTTTTGAATGTAGGAAAAATCCCAATTTTATTTTTCACACATGAAGGCATTCATGAGCATGTTATTAGACAGTTTTCTGTAAACCATTTAAAACAAAAATATGCTCTGAAGTTAAGTTTACATTAATATGCACTAAAAGCTTATTGTATTATTTAATAACTGTGTAAAATTATTAATGTTATAGTTCAAAACTGTGCCAGCTGGAACAAGTATAGGAGACGACAAACCAAAGGCTGAAAAAAATGAAGAAACAGGAGGAACATCTGCATGCAGAGTTGAGGATATTGGTTAGTTAAATCATTCCACCCTTAGTACACACAATTTTATGCATTAGGTCACTACCATAGAGAATTATTAATAATATGAACTGGAATTTCAGCTACAATGTATGTAAAATTTAATATTGAAATAGTTTAGATGAGTTCATGGAATAACTGAAAATACTTTTCTCTCTAAAATAACTGTAAATATTATATTACTTATAGTGCAAGCATTTATTCACCATATAACTTTTAACTATTAATGGAATACTTCATCGTCACAAACCACGGCCAAAATGTACGATCCTCTCCCCATTCTGGCCATGGTTGCATGAGAGGAGAATATTCATAGCCCATTAAAATATTGACCAATGCGAGTAAAGCATAGACAGATAATGAACTTTGATGCGACCTTTCAATACCCAATCTCAGTGTATGAACTACTGCTGATTTAAATTAGGGCTGCCACGATTAACCGAAATATCGGTTAACCGCGATTCACAATCTTTCGGTTCGATTCGGTACGTCTTTCCGGGATTTCGATTCGATTCAGGTTTGATTTTTTCATACTAACATTTGCTGTTGTTACACGCAGTCCGATTGGTTAATCGGAAGAAATGATGGCAAATCATGTTAGGGACTACTTCCAAGTTCCATTTTCGACAGAAAGATGGCACAGAGGATAAATAGATTTACTAAAAGGCAACACCCATCAGCCACGTAATTCTGAATTTAGAGGAACCCACACAGTGCTGCGAATTTCCTTATTTCTTAGATCGTTTTGAATGTGAAATAATTATTGACATTCTTGTTATGACAGTTATGTGGTTAGGTGGTTTGATATCGTATTGGTGAATCACAAATTTAAATCACAGCAGGAATCTTACCGTTTCTATTGTGACCAAACAGCCTTTGTGAGCAAATCACCAATACTTTTATGTTTAGCATAATAATTAATATGAAATCATTGGTTTTATTTGAAAGATTTGTTCGCATGTTTCATCTTTTAAAACCAATGACCAGTATTTTTATTCATTTGGATTTCCGACATTTGATTCTTTGGTCATACTTTTTAATTAGAACATTAGGTATTTTCTATGTTTTCTTGGCTTCACATTCTATTTTATCTTAATAAACTGTATAAAAGTATGAATCATAATTTAATAAAGAATGTCTTATGATTATGATGATAAAAAATTACAGATTTTATACAAAAATTTAAAAAAAGATCTAGTTCTTATAATCGAACTGAAATTATTCGAAAATCGAGGTTTTTGTTTGAACCGAATCGATTCGAAAATTTTCTGATTCATGGCAGCCCTAATTTAAATTGTTGATTTCAATTGCGATGGAAACAAAACTTGTCATTTACTGATCCAATATGACGTCACAATAGAGAGGCGTAAATATTCAAGATTACGGCACTTTTTGTGATCAAGCAGCCACTGGTAGGAGAGAGCTATATGCGGACTCCGGACCGTGGCTTGAGACAATGAGAATACTACTGACACATTAAAGGAGATGTTGAACAATTTGCTAGGTAGTAGAGAACCCCCTATTTTGATATCGTAAAAAGATAATTCTATCTGATTTCCAGCTGAGGCCGATAAAGTAGTGGACATAGGAGCTCTGTCTGTTTTAGGACAGATACAGGATGAGGACAGTCCTCAAGATCTACAAGGAGTGGATCAAACTAATGGCATGGTCCAGGTGTGTAAAAATAATGTATATTAAAGGAAAGCTACACATTTTCTCTTTTTTTGTGACAATTTTATAAGGTGAGCTGTAAAGTAATGTGATACTGATATCTACCAATTCACATGAAATTAACCTCACACATTAATAAAATAATTTTTACATATGAAGTTGTGCTCTTTTTAAGTTTCCTGAAAATAAGTATTATAACACAGTGCATATGTATTAATTCTAACTAAATTAAGCTACATGTACATCACAATGTCAAATGTTTTACCTACAGGTTCAGGTACCTATGTCTGAGGTAGGAAATTCCAGCATGATTCAAGTGATCTCTATCAATGGTAAAACCAGCTATCAGCTGGTCACTGGGAACTCCAGCTCCACCTCTCTAACCTCGTCTTCTTCCACAGAATCACAGGTAGGACAGGAAAATTATACAAAATATTAAAAAAGGCACTCCTTAGTGTTGTACGTTTTGTTTCAGATGGGTCATGTTTCTCAAATTTACATCTAGAATTTATAAATCAACAAATGAGTTTCTCTCACCATTAAATTAGAATACAGTCAGTATGTGATTTGTGATATGTTTTTGATCCAATGCTTGAGTCAATTACTGTGTTTAGTTTTATGCACTTTTGTTTTAGGCCATCTTATCAGGTGATGACAAGTCGGGAGCAGAAGCAGTGTTAGCCTCCGTGTCCAGTCCTTGTCAAATTACAAACCAGTCCACATTACAGGTCAGAATTAGACTTCAATATCTCAGAATCTCAAATATTAAAAAAAAAAAAACTTGCTTGAGATACTGTAGTTACCAACATTAAATCAACGGAACTAGTAGGTACAGAAAGAATACCTTTACATTTTATGAACAAAATATTACTAGATCTTTTGTAAGATAAAGTGATTATTTTGAATCCCTTGTTTACTTTGATTGAATTTTAAATCACATGTACATGTACATTTATAGTATTGTTCATGTATTGTCTTCAATTTTTCTTTCAATATTTAAGATGGAGACAGGAGATATAGCAGGAGCACAGTTAGTTGCTTTGCAGAATTCTGCAGACAGTTCCCAGCCTCAGCTAGTGGCCGTACAGAGTGATGAGCTACCTCCAGAGGCAGTAGAAGCTTCCCAGATGCTCATACCAAACATTGCAGGGGGAGAAAAACTACCTATGGTCACCCTCATGCCTCCAGATGGAAGTCAGGGAGAGCCCATGAATTACTTCCTGATTGTGACAAACAATGGGGAGAAGGATGGAACAGGTTTAAAACCAGTAACATTGGATATGAGGTCGCTGAGTGAGTTGAAGACTGAGAAAGATGATGCAGTGGAGGAATTAATTGATGAAGATGGGAATGTCAGAAGAGTTATTGAAATTGCTCCCAAGTTTGACATGCATGGAACTCATACAACTCTGTTGCAATGCAGATACTGTGATTATACCAGTCCTAAACGCTACTTGCTGATGAGACATATGAAAAGCCACTCAGAAGATAAACCACATAAATGCAATATTTGTGATAGAGGATTCAAAACCATGGCCTCTTTGCAGAACCATGTCAACACACATACTGGGACTCGTCCACATAAATGTAAGGAATGTGAGTCAGCTTTTACCACCTCTGGAGAGCTTGTTAGACACATCAGATACAAGCATACGTTTGAAAAACCTCACAAATGTACCGAGTGTGAGTATGCTAGTGTCGAGCTGAGTAAACTCAAAAGACACATGAGATCCCACACTGGAGAAAGGCCCTATCAGTGCATGCATTGTAATTATGCCAGCCCCGACACGTACAAACTCAAACGGCACTTACGCATCCACACAGGTGAGAAGCCTTACGTCTGTGATATCTGTCAGGCACGCTTTACACAGAGTAACAGTCTGAAGGCACACAAGCTGATTCACTCGGGAAACAAGCCCGTGTTTCAGTGCGAGCTGTGTCCCACCACTTGTGGAAGACGGACAGATCTAAAAATACACATGATGAAACTCCACACCAGCTCCACCCCACTACAGTGTAAAAAATGTTCTGAGACCTTCCCTGATAGATACTCCTGTAAGATTCACATGAAGAGCCATGAGGGGGAGCGCTGTTTTAAGTGTGAGCAGTGTGACTATGCTGCCATGTCCTTACGTCATTTAGAGGCACACATTTTAACACACACAGGTAAGTTAAGATTTTAATGATCGTGATGTCATTGCAGATAAAATAATATGTTTAACGAGGCTGGGGGGTGGCAGCCATTTTCAGACTATTTCTATCTCCTTTAAAAGAAGAGCTCCATATAAAGATATAGAAAAATGATCAAAATTTAAACTAAAATTAATGAATTTTTTCTTTGTCAAATGAATGTTGACAGCTTAAGATACCATATCTAAAAAAATAAGTTAAATCTGGTGGTTACTTTGTGGTTAAATTGTTGACCCCCCAGCCTCCTTAATAGTACAAAGTAGAGTTGCAAATAAAGGTGTAATTTAAAAAAAAATGTCTGTTCTAATTTTTTCAATATTTTTCAGGAGAGAAACCCTTTGAATGTGATGAGTGTGATGCCACTTTTCGACAGAAACAGCTACTTAAACGCCACAAAGGCCTTTACCACACTGATGAAGCTAGCTTAGGATCACCAACAAAGGAGGGCAGATTGTATGAATATACACTAAAATTAATTCTTTTATGTAATCTAAGATAAACTAAAACTATTAAAAACATGTACACTTGTAACAATTTTTATCTATACATGTATGTTACAGAAATTAATTTTAAGAAAAGAGAATATTTTTAAACAATGATAATGACAAATTGTTAAAGCAAATTTTATTCTTTCAGGATTATTGCAAAAGGAAATACTGATGAGAATAGGTAATTTTTTTCTGTACATTAAAAAATCAGAGATGAACAATGTGAAAACTTAAAGAATTTAATTCAACAGGATTACAGAACATGTACATATAAATGTACTTTATATGTGATTTTATTATTTTTTTTTTAATAGGCCAAAGTCAGATAGCATGGAATCCTCTTTATCCAGTGATCAACTTATCCATGGAAGTCTGCTCACAGATCTGAAGGCTGGTCGCCTCGGGAACATGCCCAAAGTCGTGATCGTACATCCGGATGGCAGCGTGGAGGAGGTGACTACTAAGCTCCACAGTCTGGCTCAAGACAAGTCCATGGAGGAGGTCATGGTGGCCAACAACGATATCACCAAGGATAAAGCAATGGAGGAAGCCATGATGCATATTGTAGGCGATGAGACTCAGGTATATACTGATTTCTCTGTATACTTTGCTACCTCAATGTTTTTGCGGTTTCTTTTTTCTCCTAGAGTGATTTTTCTCTTTGTTTAGATCTAGATTCTTTTCTAGCTCACTTGACAAGGTTGACATGAGCTTAAAGCTATATCCCTGTCATGTGAAATCTTCCTAACATAGTGTAGGTTCAAGTTTGTTCATAGCCCCAAGGGGTACTGTAGGGCTACAATTGAGAATCAACATTTTGCATGAAATATATAGGGTAAACTGACCGCAAGTCGAACACCTATTTATATTCGCCGTCGAGGTTGACAACACGGTGCATTATGCGTGTCATAAACCCGGAGATGTATCGAAATGTGTATCCAAAGCGTCATTTAAGCGTGCTGTTTACTATCGCAACCGAATGAAACAGTTGTTATTAAAGGAAAAAGCCCGAGATGCTAAATAGATCGCAAGTCGAACACATTCGACCACAAGTCGAACAGCTAGATATGAAGTCGAACGGCATTTATTCAGAGTCGCACAAATTACATATTAAGTGGTGGAAACGGCTTTTAATGACATTAAAATAAATAGGCATATTTCTGAAGAGAATTTTAATTATTTTTAAAAAAATCTCTCTAGTCTTTCCCTTGTAGATAGATTTTGATTCATACCAAACATTTAGTAAAATATGTTTATATCATCGTAGACTGGTTAACTTTATATTGCACAATTTTTCAATCATCCTCCGCCTTTCTGTTGGTTATACTTTATTTCTCTCTGTATGTTTTTTTTTTCACAGTTTTACTTTTTTTTTCATTTTCCGTTAAACATGTCTGAAAACCTAATTTGAAGTCACGGCAAAAAAATTAAAATGATTTGTTCACCGTTGTTTAAAGTATTTGTTTCAGACGAATTTTTAAAAGCAATGGTCAAGAGTCACTTTGTTCAGTATTCAACAACTTTTTATGGTAGGAATAACTATTTTAAATTTAAACAACAATGCCTTAAAACCAATTCAAGTATATATTTATAAAACCAGAATATATAAAACAAAAAACAATAATGCATAAAAGTTTACAATGTTTTTGTTTTTCTTTAAATGATTGAAATGTTCATCTTTTGACACGGCCTCGATTTTCTTGAGATCAGTCTCAACAGATCTCGTCCCCCCCTCCCCCGTCCCTAGGAACTGTCGCAGATATACTTGCAACATCGTTGCTTTTTTTTTAAGGGAAGATCATGACAAATTGCCTTAAAAAGGTGAAGATAGCCCAACGCGATCGATCTCAAAAATAAATAAATAAAATCTACTTACAATCCAAATCTGCGAACAGGATATATTTAGTACTACACAAACACCACCCTGGAAATATCAGAAGTGTGTGTGTGTGGGGGGGGGGGTCTCCTAGTTTTAAAAAATGCGTAAAGCAGGACGTTTTTCCCATGATACATAAACAATTAGGGTAGGGTAGCAGCTAAACTTGTCAGTAAACATTTTCAAACTAAAAGTACAGTTAAATATTTATATTTGAAAATATTCTTCGTGCTTACGGATCTTTTTGATTTGTTACACAGCTATGTATGTCTTTTCACAGTCGTGTAACTGGCATTAAGAAATTTCTGTTACATTCTTGGGCTCTGGAGAGCAACGAAAACATTGTCAGGCCAGAATTTTTTCTCCAGTGGGCGGGGGAGGGGGCACTACAAAAAAAAAAAAAAAAAGAATCCAAGATTTTTTATATTACTATAAAAAGGAAAAATTTTATCTATCCCATGGTGAGGATTTAACCACAAATTTTTAAAACTTGATTTTATAGGCATCACTGCCAAAAGAAAGAGCCTAATGTCCTAAATTTTGATCACGTAAAATATGGTCTGAATCATCGAATAATTAAAGTATTCGTGGTATTTTTAATTTCTTAAGCGTAAAATAAAAGTTATTTATATCTTCTATTATTCATTAAAAAAGTAAATTCATTTATATATTCCAAAAATTAATTTTTTTAATCTTTTAAAGCGTGTATTTCCTCTTATGTGAGGAGTTTTACTACTGTTTCTGGTGTCGAACAGTGATCGACTTGCGATCATTTTCGGTGTTCGTCTCCATATCATTTCTAATATTAATTTAAATGAAGTTTAGTTGATTAATTTGCAAATTATGCATCCAAATCTATATAAAAACAGATTTTAAAATTATTTATGTGCATGAAATTGTATTTTAAAATATTGATTAGCTTATTTGGTAATTGTTTGGAGCTTGGAAACAACATCGATAATTCATTTACGACAGAAAATTCGGACAAATAACCTTCAAATTTCCCGGCATCTATAACTATTAACATAATAGTGCGACATAAGAAAGACAACTCTCATTGATTAGATGGGTAAGAAAGAAGACAGATAATCAAGAGTTGCCTACCATTTATTGTTAATCGAAAGGTGTAAGCAAGGTTAAAAATGTGTTCGACTCGCGGTCAAGTTCGACTTGCGATCAGTTAACCCTAGTGTTTTTTTTTTAATTTGGCTTTTCAAAAACAGTTAAACTATGTTAAGTGATATAAATATGCAAAAATCTCCAAGTAAGAGAAAAATTCAACTTTGTTCAAATAATGGCCACTAGATGGAAATTAGGACCACGGTAGGGAATCAAAGTTTTACATTGATATTATTTGAAATAAATGTTTATACGCAAAAATAAAAAGTGATACCTGGGGTACTGTAGATCACTAAATTTTCGCGACACCTTATTTTCGCGAGATAGTCATTGGCTCTTGATTAGCGAGACAAAATTTTCACGAATTGTGGTTATTGCTCTATATAATCTTAAGGAATGCTATTGTATGCGAGAATTAAATTTTTGCGAGCACACTGTCTCGCGTAATTACGCGAAAATAAAGTTCTCACGAATAAAAAGTGATTTACAGTATATAGTATCAAGTCCACGGTACATATCATAGTTTGTAAAATCTTGTAGAATCTTGCAACAGATGGAATGCTAAAATTTAACTTTTAATAAAGGAATCAGAAAATTCAAACAGATGGAATACTAAAATTTAATTTTCAATAAAGGAATCAGAAAATTCCAAGTCAGCTGTCCCAGATGATTACACATTTACTGTGGCACAAACAGGGGACCGGGAGCTAGATGGAGCCCCCATTCAAACCTACACCATGATTTCAAATGGATCTCAAATTGTGAGTCTCGGTATCCTTATAATGGGTTTATGTTTAAAAACCTTGTTAGACTAGAATCAAAAATTCTTTTGAAATGAAACATAAAATTAAATCTAGTTTTCAGTTCATTTTATTGACAACACCATCATACATTGGCATATAGTCATGAATACAACAATTAACATACATAAAATAAAATATCAAAGAAAGCATAATTATCAGGTTTGTTGAAGGTTTTCTTTCCTAATATCAAAGCACTTTTTCAAAAAGTTACAAACTCTCCTAGCAGTTCTGATACTTGTAGGATTGATAATGTCATCAATGGGGTTTTTCTTCATGTAACATTGTGCATTAAATATATCGTGATATTGTAATCTACATTGATCATAACTAGGACAATAAAGTACAAAATGGTTTTCATTTTCAATAAAAAATTTACAAAAATGACATACACGTTTTTCTCTAGGAATAGGTTTACTGAATAGTTTTACTGAAATTTGGTTCAATTTATGGATGTCTAGAAATTACAAAAAAAATGAAATTATGTTGCCAAAAAAGTGATAGAAATGTTTCAGAATGTGTGCATGAAAGCCAGTAAATTCATTTAAAAAATCTTAATTTTGTATTAACTAACAATATTATTTTATATAAAGCTGAGAGATGAAGGTACACAGGCGACCTTGGAGACAGACAGTGAACAAAGTAATGAATCTCAGAATAACATAGCCACCCTCATCAGCAGCCAGACAATTCAGAAGACTGCCGACACAATTCTAGTCAGGAGCAATACAGATAGTATTCCAGCTCTCCAAGGTACAGTCTACAGTAGGCTTGTATTTGTTCATTAAGAAAACAGAACAAATTGCAAAAGCCAAACTTATGGTAAATTATTAACTTACAGCAAAAAACATTTTATTGATGTTTTCTTAATATTTTAAAAAGAGAACAGACTGGTTTTATCGAACCTGTTCCTATCATGTGCTAGCCTTATTATATTAGTATTATGAACGAACAACAGGACATGAGTCTGTATTACAATTTACTGTCAGTTATAATCCAGTTCTCTTTATTCACCTGATGCAAACTTACATGTATTAAATAAAACCTGTGAGTTTTTTTTTTACATTTCATATAAATTCAATTCAACTGATAAAGAGAGGATGATATTCAATATTTTGTTGATATGGACTTCATTTCATGGGTGGAAGTAAAAAAAATTTAGGAGACCTAAAACACAATGAAGTTTATGTATATCGTAGTATTAAAAAAAAAATTACTATTATAAAACAAAATTTTCTGTTTATCAAATTTTCTTCAATTTTTTTCTGCATTAACTGTCTCCTTATTGAGATTCAAAACGATATGCACTGTAAATATAAGTCAGAATGATGTTAAGAATAAAAACTCAAAAAAATGAACACATTGTAAAATAACACTTGTGAAATTATCAACTTTATTCAAAAGATAGACCATAGTATTTCTCTGATGAAAATATAATGAATTAAATTATCTCACTGTTGAAAATATGATAATTTTTAAGATTTTATATACATGTATTAATGTTTAGATGAAGTCGGCATGAAAATCGACTTGCCAACAACCCTAGATGTGAATGGTGAAGCCCTGACCTTCTATACTAGTCCTTCCATCATCACAGCACAGGGGCTGAGTTTAGAAACACTGGACAGGTAAAGGACACTTCTTGTTTTTAAAAATCTTTAAATGATTATTATCTATAATATAGCATATATCTGACATTCAGCCTCTGTAGATCTACATTGCATCTTAAAAATCTTATCTTATAACTTCCAAAATTTCTTGAAAACAGTAATTTGATTACAGTAAAAGGTTAACTTTTAGGTCATGTGAGTCAGACAGTTGACCTTTTAGTATCAATTATTGTCCATTATTGTCATTGGACTTAAAAACTCTCAGCTTCTGGAAACGACTGAAGCTCTGTAGCTCACCTAAGCTGAAAGCTCAGGTGAGCTTTTCTGATCGCCCATTGTCCATCTGTCTGTAAACTTTTCACATTTTCAACTTCTTCTAATGAGCCACTCCTCCAATTTTAACCAAACTTGATACAAAGCATCCTTGGGTGATGGGGGGGGGGGGGGGTCTAAATTGTTGAAATGAAGGGCCAAGTCCCCTTCCAAGGGTGGATAATTAAGAAAAGACAAAAATAGGGTAGGGTCATTTAAAAAATCTTCTCAAGAACCACTGGGCCATAAAAGCTGAAACTTATGTGGAAGCATTCTGGGGTAGTGTAGATTCTAAATTATAAAAATAATTACCCCCAAGGGTAGGGCTGGGCCACAGTAGGGAATCCAAGTTATACATTGAAATATATAGGAAAAATCTTCTTCTCAAGAACCACTGAGCCATAAAAGCTGAAACTAAGTGGAAGCATCTTCGGGTAGTGTAGATTCTAAATTATTAAAATTCAGATGGGGGGAGGGGTAGGGGACTATAATAGATATTAGAAGAGGGGAAATCTAGTAAAGAACTGCATCACCAAAGTGGGCCTCTTGTTAAACCAAAATTGGTACATAGCAGGGTTAAAGGGGGGGGGGGGGAGTAAATTTATGGTGTATGTTTCATAGTTTGTATCCCATAACTTTGAGGAGTGAGTGTGACAAAACCATCCAGATTAATGCAATCTTTAAGATAAAATTCATAAACACTGGAGATCCAGTTGTCAAAATGCTGGCATGATCATAATAATTAGCATATTGTAGAGTGTTTCATGGAACACATGTTGCCATATTTAGATAATTGAGTTGGATGGAAAGAGATTGAAAGAATGGCAGTGTCTCTTTTTGGCTTTAGGTAACCCGAAATATCTTTTTTTGAAATGTAATAACAGCAGGTTACAATGACACTGTATGACTGTAATTAATTAATTACATAATTAATTAAAATTGTATACATGTAAGCTTTAAAAACACCATCAACTACTTGTTATTTAGAGATTCCCACATGATTAGGAAAACAGTCTACTGGCTGTTTTTATGTTTGCAGAGAAACACAGAGTTGACGAATTTATAATCACAGATAACCGTAATTCTAGTTTTTAGCTCACCTGAGCTGAAGGCGCAATCACATTTTTTCCATCTTTCTGTTTGTCCATTTGTCTGTCAGTCTGTCTGTAAACTTTTCAAATTTTCGACTTCTTCTCAAGAACCATTGGGTCAATTTCAACCAAACCTGCCACAAAGTATCCTGGGGTAAAGGGAATTCAAGTTTGTTCAAATGAAGGGCCACACCCTCTTTCAAGGGGAGATAATTAGGAATTAGTGAAACAATAATGGCATCTGTTAAAAATCTTCTTCTTAAGAACCACTGGGCAAGGAAAGATGAAGCTTATATGGAAGAATCCTCAGGTACTGTAAATTCAAGTTTCTTCAAATCATGACCCCTGGGGATAGGTTGGGGCCACAATAGAGGATCAAAGTATTACATGGAAATATACAGGAAAATATTGTTGAAAATCTTCTTTTCAAGAACAGCATTGCTGCAAGGCCATGATTGGTTATATTTGGAAGTATCCTCAGGTAGCGTAGATTCAAGTTGGTTCAAATCATGACCCCCGGGGTGGGACAAGGCAACAATGGGGGATCATAGTTGAAATATATAGGAAAAAGTGTTAAAAATATTCCTCTGAAGAACAGCAAAGCCATGATTGGTATATAAATGGAAGCATTCTTAGTTGGTTTATATTCAAGTTTGTTCAAATCATGGCCCCTAAGGTGGGGCCTCAATAGGGGATCAATGTTTTAAAAGAAAATACTTTTTCTTATGAACAGCAAAGCCATGATTGGTCATATCTTAATGGAAGCATTGTCAGGTAGTGTAGATTCCAGTTTGTTCAAGTCATGATCCCCTGGGGTAAGGGTTGGGTGCCAATGGGGGTCAAAATTTAACATAGGAATATTTGGGAAAAAATCTTTTTTCTCAAGAACAGAAAAACCAGAAAATCCCCCCTTCCCTTCGTACTTTTCAATATTGGGCTGACTTTTGCATTTTTTCCTAGCCATTGTGCTCAGGTGAGCGATATGGCCCATGGGCCTCTTGTTTAATTTATCCTTATAAATTTTATTATAAGTATTTATGACTGTATGTTTCATTCACGTAATTTCTATCTCCACGAATGTAGCAAATTCTAACTCCATGAGTTAATTTCCTGCTGTACAATACTTATGCAACACTTTAGAATGCTTGGTAATGAATGCTTTGAAATTGTTTGTAATTTTAGTTGTAAAAAGAGAAAAGAACTGGAGGACCTGGGTACAGAAGCCCAGAATAAAAAGCTTTGTACAGAAGAAGGGGCAAAGAATTAAAAAACTTTTATGTTGATATGTTATTATATTTGTGATAGTATCATGTTTACTTTGGTGAAAGATATAAGGAATTGGAATGTTTTTGAAAATTGATTATCTTTACAAAATATGCACTAATTAAATAAACCATATGTTATTGAATGTTCATTTGTTTATTTGTAAATAAAGATATGCTTGTAAATGTTCAACATATTTTATTATTTAAAAAAAATGTATACTCTGCATATGAAGATGCATGTACCCTGTATGATATTAAGTTATACAGATTATAAATTAGCTGGTAGACTGTTGAATGCATTGCTTGATTTAATTTACATTTGTATCTAAAAGTAAGCAGTTCCTGCAAATGTAAAAACCCATTGTTAAGAGCATCATGGCTTACTTTTAGGGATAAAATATTTCTTTCCAAATGATACTTGAAACATATCTGATAATTTTTTATTTCACTTGATAAGTACTTAATTAGGTACAACATGAATGGTGTAAGTTAAAGTTTACATCATCCCCAATGCCTGCGAGCTCCAGGCAGTAAAAGGATAAATTTTTCCAAGGGCTAAAGCAAGCCAGCTTTTGTACAAGCTGTAAAGTTGCATCGTAATGTCTATTCTGTGTTTGAACAATAAGAGTCAGTAGAAAATAAACAAATAATACTTGAGGTACTGTGGGCACTAAGCTCACTACATGATACCTCCTGCCTCCCATATGATTATAATGGCAAAGTCCACGTTTTGCTTTTGGAGACGCTAAAAAAGTCAGATCAGAAAGTAAAATAAGAGGTGCACAATGGCATTATGTGATAAAGAATCTGTGAAAGTAACATTAAATTTTATTCAGTAGTATTTGAGTTTCGAATAAGAGATGGATACCCTTCGATATAATAGAAAGAATGCATATTCAATGTTCGCTTTGGGAAACCCGAAAGAATGGAGGCGTACAAGGTGAGGACAAACCCCCGCTCTGAGAAAAGACATTGCTCAATTTTAAAAGTTCATGAAAGCTATATTTTTCAAAATTGTATGGTTTACTGAGTATAAGATCTTTTACCCATTTAATTCTGTATTTCATTAATATTTTAATAATTTATTTTCAATCATGTTTAAGATATGTGAAAACAAAATAAAAGAAGCTTCACGTATGATTCAAACACCCTCCATAGCGCAGGGTTTGGCGGAAGACCCACAGCGATAACCACTACGCTACGATTGATTAATTGTTTAATATATTGTTTAACGTCCCTCTCGAGAATTTTTCACTCGTATGGAGACGCCACCACTTGCCGGTTGAGAGCTGCAGATTTTGTCCTATACTCGGCACTTAGGGCCACCGAGCAGGGATTTTTTCGTGCCAGCACCTACTGCGACACGGGACCTCGGTTTATACAGTCTCATCCGAAAGACCGGTCTCCACAGTGGGATTGAACCCGCGACGACTACGTTACGAAGTATATGTGTCATCGATGTCTGTCAGTGTGATTCAAATTTTATGAACGGGTTTGTTGAAGAGTACATTTTTTCAAAAATGTTCGATTTTCATATAAAATGGGCTCATATTCCATTTTTTTGGACAAATGAAATATATTTCACATTAACGTTTCCACCATTTAAGCATCAACGAAAAATGGAGACTTGAAGAATGGAGACATGTTCAAAATTTATTTTTATGGCTCTAGTAAACCCATATTCCATTAAATATGCTCAACTGTCAACTTTGAAATAAAGATTGTCAAATGATAAGTCGTTAAGTAAAATAAAATAATAAAATGTTTTGAAGATGACATTACTGAGAAAATGATTTTAGAAAAAATAGAACTGTTGCGTGAATTTTGAAAATTGAGAAACATTATATTAGAGCAGGTGATTGTCCACGCCTTGTACGCCCCCTTTCTTTGTGTCGGATCATAAAGACAAATAGGAGGTGCACAATGGCACTAGGTAACAAAGATTCAGTGAAAGTTTCATTAAATTTTATTCAGCAGTATAAGAGGAGTTGCGGATAAGAGATGAGTACCCCAAAGGTAACGGGCGGTCGGACGCACGGATGGACACCCCAGTCCTATACCCTCGCACTATTCAAGCGGGGGGTATTCTGTCTGAGTTATCTTTTTGTGCGTCCATTATCCTAGGTGCTTGGTTTCAGGAAGGTTTATTATGTGTTTTTCTAAGTGTTTCTGAATATACTCATCAAACTATTTTAAAAAAATCGCAGAAATAAGCACGTTTTAATAACATATCTATTATATATTAAAAGAAGATTTTAGAAAGTAGTAATAACGGTTGTGATTACAACTTTAAGAAAGTCGTATTTACGAGATAAAAAGTCGTAATTACGACTTTAAAAAGTCTTATAACGAGATAAAAAGTTGTTATTTCGACTTTAGAAAGTAATAACAAGATAAAAAAAAATGGTAATTATGACATTTTATCCACATAAGTTTTAACTTTTCTGGCTCATTGGTTCTTGAAGAGAAGATCTTTAAAGATTTTTTCTATATATTTCAATGTAAAAATTTGGATTCCCTATTGTGAATCCCCCCCCCCGGGGTCATGATTTGAACAGTTAAGAATCTACTCTAACCAAAGATCCTTCCATATAAGTTTCAGCTTTTGTGGCTCAGTGGTTCCTAAAAAGATTTTTAAAGATTTTCCCTTTATAATTCAATGTAAAATCTTGGGTTCGCTATTGTGCCTCCCTACCGGGGGTGAGGGTGGGGGTCATAATTTGAACAATTTAGAATCTACATTATCCCAGGATGCTTCCGCATAAGTTTTAGCTTTTCTAGCTCAGTGGTTCTTGAGAAGATTTTTTAATGACCTTATCCTATTTTTGTCTTTCCTTGATTATCTCCCCTTTGAAGGGGATTTGGCCCTTCATTTTAATAATTAAACCCCCTTCAACTAAGGATGATGTGTATCAAGTTTGGTTAAAATTAGCCAAGTGGTTCTTGAGAAGAAGTCGAAAATTTGAAAAGTTTACAGACAGACGGACAGACGAAGGACAACGGTTTATAAAAATCAAAGAAATTGGTCTTTTGTCATTTCTTTAAAATTTACCGTAAGATTTACTGTAAAAAGGGCGTCAGGTTTATATTTATGCAAATTGTCCAGCAAATCAAATGTAGCTGCAGAAGTTTTGCTGTGTCTCTGATTTATTTGTTTCAAGCTGATAGTTACAACTCTGCAGCTACAATAAGCAGATTACCAAGCTTACATAATATGAGCCTTTAACATTAGATGCAATCAATTCACACTGATTTTGAATGTATAGTTGAAAAGAATTAAAGCCATTAAATGCTTAGAATTTATATTTAGGTTTCAAAGCACCTCTTTAACTGAAAAATATATATCCAAAAATGGATATCGGAAGCCAATTCATCAGCAATTAAAAGACCAAAGATGAATACAGTATTTGCAGGAAATATGACTACACTGCACACAATATTAATGATAAATTTGTGTATCAAACATTGCTTATCGATTTTATTTCCCCATCCAATGAAAATCCATTTACCTTTCACGGTTGATATTGAAAATTTTGGACATGTTTTCCCCTGTTCATATTGAACGAAATTCAGTACGAAGAATACAATGATAATGCAAACAGCTCTGTTGTTTTTAGTTATGTCAAACATACCCGGTATTAGTGCGTTAAAATACAATAATGTGTATGATCTACAACAGGAGCTTCTTACAAATTATTCACCAACCGTCCGTCCATTGATAAATCAAGAAAAAGCCATCACAGTTTTGGTAGACTTTAGACTGAATTCAATCATATCGTTTGATGAAAGAGCTGGTACTCTGAAAACTATTTGCTACATTTCGTTTGTGTGGTTTGATGAGAAAATACGGTGGAATACTTCCGTTCACGACATTGAAAACATTTATTTACCCCTATCTACAGTGTGGATACCACGCATTAGTCTTCAGAATTCAGCTACGGAGCACATGAACATTAACACAGGAGACACTCAAGATAAGCAAGTTGTATATTACCCTTCCGGATTTGCAGCCTTTGCATTTGTTGGTCTTGCCACGACAAAATGCGATGCTGTTATGTCGTACTTCCCTTTCGACAGACATAGCTGTGAATTGAACTTTATAAGTATGGAACCCATACATCGAGTATTGATGGCTGTACATGATCTTCCACATAAAGTACCCTCATATGAGAACAAGGAATGGAAGATTCTAAGTATTAAGAAAAAGCATTCAATCTATCATGTCGCCAGAAACCACAGTATGATCTCCTTCAGCATACAGTTTGAGAGAAGACCAGCGTTTTATATCCTGAACATTTTGTCACCCCTACCTTGTCTTGGCCTCACAAATGTTCTCGTATTCGCTTTACCCATTTCTTCGGGAGAACGAGCGTCTTTCTCAGTAACAATTTTGCTGACGTTGGTTTTCTTTCTGAACATGATAGCTGATCGCTTACCCCCTACTAGCGAACCAATCAGTCTGTTCAATGTGATGGTTATGGTGCAATTGCAAAATAGTGTGTTCATAGTCATTTGTACAATATTGTCCATGATGACTTACGAAAAAGCGCAGAAAAATACTGATGTTCCCAGAATTTTGTGCAAAATTGTTGTATTTTTGCAAAATACAAACAAAACTAGAGGTATGTCATCGGAGCAGGAGGATGTATCTGCGATTCCAGCTAACACAGATGAATTGAAGGCTGCTCAAAAAACATCAGACTCTTCATCGCAAATTACATGGAATGAAGTTTCAGATTGCACTGAGAGATTTTTTTCCAAATTATTTTCTTGTATGTTCATTGTAGAATGGATTATTTATCTTACATTGATGATAGTTGGAACAGATTAATAAAAATTTTGAAACCGAACCATGGCTTGAGACGATGACCATTGCGCCAATCCACACATTTGGAACAGATTCGTATTAGTAAACTATAATTTACATTCATTAATCATAGTTGATTTGTTAATCACAGTTTCATAAATCGTGAAACTTTATTTATCAGATAAACTTTATTTTACATTCGTTAATTAAAGACAACAATGATATCAGAATTTGTAGATTTAAGAAATTACGAAAAAAGGCAGAGACTGGTGTAAAAATTTATGCATAAAATATGGGGATAACGAACATTAATCAA